AAATTACCAGTAAAGGGTTCCCTTTTTCATTGACTTTTTCTTACAGTGTCCCTTTAAATTAGTGCACCATAAATTGCATTCAGACACAAAACACTAATTCGACCATTGTTATTATTCAATCACACCAATGAAAATAAAGCACTCCCACACTTGTATTTCAAACAAAACATGATGAAACTCTCTTAAGCACAGTGAAGGAAGATTCTAGATGCCAATCTGTGCAAGAGACTATGCTTAGCAGGGTCAGTCTCAAAACACACAGACACACACAGCATTGCAGAGACACTGCACCATCATGACTTACAAATGTACATGTGTAAAGACTGCCAGTCTACCTCGCTCATGTGTTGCCGTACCAGCCCCTGGCACCACTGCAGCTATCACAAACTAGGGCAAGCTATTTATATCACCAAGAGAAGAATGATAGAGAGAGATTCAGAGAGAGATGAGAGAGAGAGAGAGAGAGTCCAGGTGAAGGAGAGTGCAGGCACTAGAGGAGTAGAAGGTGATGCAGCAGATATGGGATGCAGAAGAGATGGCTTTAAAAGAAAGCCGCAAGTCAGGAAATATGACAGACAGGCTGAAATAGAGTGAACAAAGATAACTGAAAAGAAAAATAATTTAAAAAACGGCATGTAGAAAATAAAGGTAAAAAGGAAAAAAGGATATAAAACAGATCAGTTTACAGCAGGGCTGTCCAAACTCGGTCCTGCAGGACCGGTGTCCTGCAGAGTTTAGCTCCAACCCTAATTAAACACACCTGAACCAGCTAATCAAGCTCTTACTAGGCATAGAAACTTCCAGTCAGGTGTGTTGAGGCAAGTTGGAGCTAAACTCTGCAGGACACCGGCCCTCCAGGACCGAGTTTGGACAGTATACCCTGGTTTACAGTATTTCCAATGCACTGCAGAGGTATGGTATTGTGTGTTTCTAGCAATCATTGGATTAGATCTATTGCAGTTTATATGTTTTTCCCTCTAGAACTTGTTTATACACAACACCAAAATGTCCCCTATGTAAATGAGCCACATCCTGTCCTGAATAATAACAGTATTATATTTTTATTATCCTCTTCGCAAATTCTTTTACATCCACAGGTCAGCAGCAGGTCCATGGACTGCTCACCACAGCACTGAAATGAGCAATGCAGTATATCTATTTATGACCTTATTATGACGCATTATAAATAATGTGTGGATGTGTCATTTAAGGAGGTGGTTTTGCTTCAGGACCCAGATTTTGCATTGGACATCAAGTGGTAACCCAACAAAGCAGCAAAACCGTTTATTGTTCAAAATTAACAAAAATGATGTTAAAATCAAAGTGAAGTGCTATGGCCCAACAATAAGCAAAACTATTAACATGATAAAAAAAAAAGGAATAAGACAACATGCAACATGGAACAAACACTGGGCCAAATGTTGTTTTAGTATTAGCTGTAACAGAGAAAGAATCCTGAAACAAATGTATTGTGGTTTCCACAAAAATATTAAGCAGCACAACTGTTTTCAACATTGATAATAATAAGAAATGTTTCCTGAGCAGCAAATCAGCATATTAGAATGATTTCTGAAGATTCATGTGACACAGATGACTGGAGTAATGACTGCTTAAAATGTAACTTTGCTATCACAAGAATAAATGAAACTTTAAAATATATTAAATGCAGCCCTGGTGAGCATAAGATAATCACAAACACCAGGGTGATTTTGTATGACTGCTGAATGTAAATTATCCTTTATGTATCATGCATTTATCTATCTATCTAATCCATCATTCTCAACAACCTGATCTCTTGGGTGAGTTTATAAAGGGACTATTTATAGACTCTAATCTAAGGATACATGGCTCAGATCCACTGTTTTGACTCCCATTTGAAGAGTCTCAGTGCTGAGGCAGGCAGGCAGGATTTTGACCCTGATACAGCTCAGTGAACAGAGAGGGGAGGAGGGGTCGCGAGTTGAGTTGAGGCACGTGCCACCAAAGCAGGTCAACAGTCTTAATGAAACGACAACACCAGGCTGCCAGACGCAACCAAATGAAAGAATGTGTATTTGTGTGTGTGTGTGTGCATATGTGTGTGAGAGAGCAAAAGGCAAGGAGGGAAAGAGAGCTTCTCTTGTGCCAGTCACACAAAGTAAATGAGAATTTGTGGGTGCGTGGGGTGGGGGGTTCGGTGCGTCTGTGAAAGCTCTAGTTTCTGAAGCAGAAATAAAGGCCAGCTGTTTGCCCACAGAGTTGCTCACAGCTCCACCCAAAGACACAAATCACATTCACTGTATCTCAAGAGCTGAAAGTAAAGAGCATTTCTGTGTTTTTCAAACAGAGAGAGAGAGACAAAGCCCTATTTAGCCCTCAGGGATGTGTACAATACATTCACTTCAACTGTGAGGTGTTTTGACAAGAGAAAAGTGTGATTTCAAATAGCCGTCTCTAGATAAATGGTACAAAGTGATTGCCAAAATATCATTTCACTGTCACTCACAGTCACAGAAATATATGTTCATGGCTGCTCTGGATAACTGCACTCATCAGTACAAGACACACACAATCTACAGGGCAGTACACAGGGTCACAGAGTGAAAGGCATTATGGGTAACCTCTAGCCCTCACTGTTTTATCCATCTTTTTTACCCTCAGGATAATGACCCAAATATACTATTCAAATGCACAAATACACAAAACGCACAAACATTCATAGTCATAAAGCACTCACGCAATAACAAAGATATAAGCAAAGCTTTTCCTAGTATTGATAGCAAACACCCGTCAATGTGGTCTAAGCCTCAGTTGTACTCATTAACAGGTCATGAATGCATATGCGTGTAGCAATATTACTGGCCAGCTGAACGTACAAAGGAATTATGTCATAAAACAATTACATTTTCCTGAAAAAAAGAAAAAAAATGATATGAAAACATATGAACAAACAAATGAATGGCAGTGAAAAAAGACCATTTATTAAACCTACCTGGAAAACATGTTAGTAAATGGTTCCTTTTTTCCCCCCTAACATTCTAGAAACACTCTCTTTAGGTTCTATATTAGTCAGCTGTACTAACATTCCAAGAATGTTGTAGGGAGGTTTGTGTGACAACCTAATAGGAACCTATACAGAATATTTGCTAATGGTTATTTTTAGGTTTTATTTATACTACCATTTAAAAGTCCGGGGTCATAAAGAGATTAAGTAAGAAATTAATAATTTAATAAAACAAAAATACAGACTTTTATATTTACATTTTCGAAGTCTAGATGTGAACAAGAGCTAGTCACAAGCTTCAGTGGAGGGCAAGATTATGAAAAAATAAGTGACAGTAAAGACATTTAGAATGTTACTGTGGCGAGTGGAGTGGGGCCGAGAGCTGTATCACTCGCGTCACCGGCCCACCCCACTTGTCACAGTTACAAAAGATTTCTATTCCAAATAAATGCTGTTCTATTGAACACACTTATTATAAGTAATGTTTCTTGAGCAGTAAATCGGGATATTAGAATGACTTCTGAAGGAACACTGAAGACTGTATTTGCTGCTTTAAATTCAGCTTTGCCATCACAGGAATAAATTAGATTTTAAAAATATATTCAAATAGAAAACAGTTATTTCAAATTATAATAATATTTCACAATATTAGTGTTTTTACTGTATTTTTGGTCAAATAAATTCAGCCTTGGTGAGCATAAGAGACTAATTTGAAAAAAAAAAAAAAACCACTTTAAACAATAATCTAAGTAAAAACAACTTGTTCCTAAATTCTTGGATTTCCGGTCTCAGAACCCTGAAATAATTAACTATCGTCGCACAAAATGATGGCTGGGCATGCAAGATCTGTATGCAAGGAGATGTAGGGAGGAAAAATATATATATAAATAAAATATAATTATTTCTGAAGAATAAAATGTGGAGAGGTCAACCAAATCCTCCTCTATGTCAGAAAACAGGTCCCCGATCATTTCAGTCTGACCTTCACATTTTGTACAGCACATTTCAGAACAAATTGCCTTGTGTCACAACATAATGGTTTATAAAGAAGCAGTTATTTAAAAGATGGGGCTAACAAATTATACTGAAAAATAAAAAACCTTGACTAATATAGACCTCAGGGGAAAAAAAGAATAAAAATTCATGATATGATGCCTAAAAGATCAAGACAAAGAACAAGGAGAGACTAAGCTGAAAATAAGGAAGCAGGTTTTAGTTCTACTGCTGAGTGTGTTTGTTCCCAACACAACAATTAAGTATTCAGGTTTAATATTTTCAGAGAAGCACAAGAGGTTTTCAGAAGGAAGCAGGTATGCTCTATTTTCAGCCAGTGACCTGAGTGGCTCTGTTTTTCTCTCTCTCTCTCGCTGCTGAGAAATCACTTCTCCGCTTATCTCCTCTACCATAGGGGAAGTAAAAGCTCTTCTCAGCCCCTGCCACTCCTCAGGTAAGAGGTTACAGCTTCAACAGGCAGCAAAAATATTCCATGAATGCTAAGGCAATGCAGTGTGAACATCAGATGTTGTCCTCGGGGCCTTAAAGTGCTGGCTTCTGAATGTAGGTTAAAATGTACTGCTCACAAGACCTCCATTAGCTTTGAACATGCCCGATTTGGAAAACTAGAGATTGCTGAAAAAGACCAAGACACCTAGCAAGTACTCAAAGCCTGCGGAACTGATTGTGTTGTGTGGGAGAGAAAGCCTTTTATCCCACAATGCCTCATCTCAAGCTCAGATAGACCCTTAAAGGAATTCACGCAAAAATGAACGTCTTTCCAAACCTGTATGACTTTTCTTCTGTGGAGAATATATTTTGAAGAACTGTTTTTGTCCATACAATGTCAGTGAGGTCCAAAACAACAATGACTTTCAACGTATGGACAAAAAACTCTTTTGGTAACAGAATTTTCATTTTGGGGTGAACTATTGTATAAACAGATGCGAGTGCTTCTCTGTGAGCTGAATTTTTTTTTACTATGCAAATAGAAACAGGAAGATTTTTTAAAATTTGTTCTCACCCTCTGCCTGTCCTCCTCGAACACAGCCTCATGCACGCTGCAGACAAACAGAGCTGTAGGTAGATCACTCAAGTCCATCATCTCCTCGGAGTCTTCCTCAATCTCTCCGAACGCCATCTCTTCTTCATCCTCCTCTTCGGGATCGCTGCTGTGACCCTCTGAGCTGTTGCTCCACAATTTCCAACCCTCACGCATCATTCCACTGCCCCACCACAAGACAGCATTAGAACAAATGACACAATCCAGTCGACATCTTGAGGCAATCAAGGATATACTTTGAAAACAAACTAGTTTGCTTTAGGTAAAACACTTACAAAAGAGAAAATGCCATAAAAACACCATAAAAGTATACCATGTGTGCTATTGTTCATGACATGAAACCGTGATCTGTGAGTGAGCCGGTTTCTGCAATACACTTGCAGCGTTTACTAAAGATCTACCTAATAATCTGACAGGAAGGTGACTATTAATAACAATATGACAATGTGGCAATAAATTAAATATATACAAAAATATGACTATATTATTATTTTTTTAAACAATGTCTTTTAAAAGATGGCATAGGAGAATAATAACAAATAATATATAATCTAATTAAAAATATTACAGTATCATTCACTTGTTGATAGTGGAAAAGTCTGTTCTATGTCTTTTACCTTTACGCACACAAGTCATATGTGGGTCAAAGACCCACAAAAGAAAGGCTCAAAAAATAAATATATTTTAAATGATTAAAAACTTCTGGCTGACCAATGGGTAAAACCTAGTGGTTTCAAGGATAGTGGCAAAGATAGGTAAAGATTAAAAATTACAGTTAATTAGTTTTCGGGGGCTGCACTGTGATCCTTAAATACAGTCTTTTTTAATGCCATCTAATGATTCTTGTTCTAAATATGCCTGATAAGATTTTTTTGGTATATGAACTATTGTTACACTGAATGACATTTAGTGGGTGTCTTCGGTAAATCATGGTAAAAATGTATGATAGTCATTATTATTTATTTTATTTATTTATTTTTTGCTCAGAAAAGAAGAAGAAGAAGAAGAAGAAGAAGAAATTAAACTGGACACATTCTAATGTACGTAAAAAAAATCAAAGCTGTCAAACTTTCATCGTTTTAATGCTTGAAAACCCCTTTACGTCTTTGACCCATGTACTACTGTTAATGTACTTTTATGTTGTTTGACATCTGGTCATTATCCACTTTCATTTATAAAACTAGCAGCGTGAACATCTTGCCTCATTTTGTGTTTGACACAGAAAGTCATAATGTTTGGGAACGACATTAGAGGTGACTTGATACACAATATCTTTAACAAGTGAACGTGCCCAAGTACAGGTGCATCTCAATAAATTAGAATGTCGTGGAAAATTGGTCTTATGAAGTATTCTAATTCGTTGAGATAGTGAATTGGTGGGGTTTTGTTAAATGTGAGCCAAAATCATCACAATTAAAAGAACCAAAGACTTAAACTACTTCAGTCTGTGTGCATTGAATTTATTTAATACACGAGTTTCACAATTTGAGTTGAATTACTGAAATAAATGAACTTTTCCACGACATTCTAATTTATTGAGATGCACCTGTAGGTATAACTCAACGTGCCTGAATTTTCAGATTTCAGTTGTTGTGTGCTGTAGCGTCATCTAGTGGCCGTTACACGACTACATTGTGTATATTATGGGCGTAATCTTATTATAAGCGCGTCTAAAATAGAAAGTGTGTTCGCTAACCTGGACAGGATTCACACATGTGTGGTGCGTATTGCATATTCATAGAGATAAAAATGATTAATATACACATAATTCATAGATTTTCTGAAGAAAAAAAAAACATCGCTGCTGCTCTACATTTCATAACAAACCGATTAGCATGCTTAAACTATCAAGATGGCATTGACAACATAATTGTAGTAAACATCTATGCTAGTCTATTAATTCTGCACTTTTATTTGACATAAATTTCAAAACTAGTCCATCAGAGTCAAATATAATAGCATGATAATGTAAGTTTTATAGATCACTTACCAGTAATCTTTGCCCGAAATCGATGACCGGGCAAGAGGCCATCCACTTTAAGATCCGCGGCACATACACTTGAATACAACAATGGAATATTGTTAATCTCAATTAGAAATACGTCTTTTCATTTAAACAGTAAATTCGTCGTATGCAATCAAAACGACAAGTGACAGTGAGGAATGACCAATGACATTTAGGTGTATCTCATAATCAGCCAATGGGATTCGAATTCGCGGGAGATTGACAGCAGGGATTGATGGCGTGCGACAGAGGACTCAACCTGCACTGTTTGGTGTATTACATCAGAATGCATTATGGATTATCTTTGACATATTCATTTTTACCACATGAATTAACTAATTTTGAACGTTTTGTAATTAAAAACAACTAAGTGAAACATTTTATTCGATGCAACTGCTATCCTTCATATAGCAGTATATCAATAAGATAAAAATGACTGTCGCAGTGCTCAGTACGCATACGTTTTCACCGGCCGTCGAAACCACTGATAATTAATTTGACCGCCTGTTGTTATCTTGACTTGCACAAGCAGAATCCGAGTCTGTACTGTACATATGTTTCCTTAATAATATGGTCCTCGACACATGGGCTACACAGAGAACGATTATTAGTTAAAAAAACAAAACAAAACCAATATTCTTAAATTACACAAAGACAGTATTCAAATTTACGTCAGTCCTCGAGATACTAACATTAGTCTTCCAGTTAAATATTCGATTACACAGCAGTCCACAGCAATATGACTGAGATTCAAGGCTTTAATATATTGGTCAGCTATAAACTTCCTGTATACTCCAAGACCAAAGAACAAGCAGTTATTATAAGGCATGTATTATTGGTTTAACAGAATTTGGACCATGCTAACTATCAACACGGCACGCTGACTGAAGCGTGGTCTTTTTTTCATTATTCATTTTGATTAAAGGCATTATTATTGTCCTTGTGAAATGGTTATAATAGCATAAACATTAAGTAAAAAAAAAAAATTAAATCAAATTTCTTTAAATTAACTCTCAACACAGTAGTAATTGCACTTAAACATAACTCAGTGTTGTGATGTGGCTTAGACAGTCAAGTTTCCCCTCATCTTTCAACAATGGTGTCTGTCAATGGTATAATAAAAAAAAAACAGCATAAATGATTACTTGTGTTAAAAGACACCAAAACAACAACATATTTTACCACATTAGTCAAAGCAATGGTATTTATGATAAAATATCAGCCAGTGTTTCTTAAAGTTGTACAGAAAGCATATGTACATTTCAACCACCAGCAGTGTTCTGATTTGTAATACCAACAAACATGCAGATTTGTACAGAAAGCCTATTTGGTACACTTCAGACAAGCACAGGGAATAAATAATAGGCACAGCAGACATTCAGGCCTGAAGACTTCAAAATGGAAAATGAGAGGACAGTGTTCATGAGCTTGAGAATACAGTAATTTGAGCCAGTACCAAATATATATTTGTATATAACTAGCTGAGAATTGTGCAATCTATATTAGTCACTGGCCTTTGGTTGATAAAGCTGGACTGGCTGTAGTATCTCTGGTACAAAGCAGTAGCAGAACCCAAAACATCTTCTGAGGTATATTTAGATTCTCAAGTTAGTAATATTAGCTTTTTAACTTTGATATGAGACCGGGAGTGATCAAAATGTCAGTCAGCACATTTAAGGCATGATTACAGATATGAGTATCACACAAAGATAACACACCAGTATCTCAGGTTAAAATCAACGCCACCAATGAAAGTCCTTATTTGCATTTTAGCATAGAGAAAGGCTTATAGCTTGGTTTCCTGGCTCAGGACCAGACGAGATAAATACAAAAGTTCTAGAATGGTCCAATATTCTGGAACTGTGCTTTGTGAGTGCTGTCAATAAGCAAATCAGTAATGCTTAAACACACAGTAGCATTTCTCAAGTAAAATCAGTCTTAATTGCACTTCAGACATTTCCCCTCAGTCTTTTTTCAGCTCTGATGGTTGGTATGGGCTAACAGGGCTGGGAGAGACGGACAGCTCTTGGTCCATCGGAAGCGGCACAGGAGCCACACTATCGTTGTTCTCCAGTGCTCCGTAAGAAAAAGAGCCATTATAATCGGGCTGCACAGCCCAGCCCTTGTTGTGAATGGTTGGAATGCCTGTGTTGACAGAAAACAGAAAAAGTGTTTAATCTAATAGGATGATTATTTGTTTGGCTTGATGACAGAAATCACAAGTCATACCTTGTGCCATGTCCATGGTGACATATGGCTCAAAGGCTTTGACCTTCCTCTTGCTTTTAGTGATCAGGAACACTCCAAAAAAGCATATAGCACATCTGCAGGAACATTATAAAGACACATGTTAACATATCTTAGATTCCAAGGGTCTCACTGCTAGTCTGTTAGTCACTGCTACCGCTAAGAAAACAAACTTGTGTGGAATTTCATGGCTAAATAATTCTCTTCCTCACACGGATGTGTTACAGAATATCACATAGTACTACATAGTAGTCACTTAGTAGTAGTATAGTGAGCATTTTCCACCTTGATGAACTGAATGTAAAATTTAGTCTGTCAATGGATATAAACTTTTTTTTTTTTTCATAGTTCGTAGTTACTTTTTTTCATGGTTTCGTAGAAATAATATGAAATAAGCCTTTTCACAAATTATTAAATTCAAGTTTTTTTTTTTATTCTGGAAGGATTTTTTAATCTTTCAGCTTTCCCATCACAGGAATAAATAACATTTTAAAATATATTAAAGGGGTCATATGATGCGATTTCAAGTTTTCCTTTCTCTTTGGAGTGTTACAAGCTCTTCGTGAATAGATAAGATCCCTAAAGTTGCAAAGACTAAAGTCTCAAACCCAAAGATATATTTTTTATAAAAGTTAAGACTGGTCCACGCTCTCCTAAAACGCCTCGTTTAAACACGCCCCCACATGTCTACGTCATGATGTGGGAAGCTTTGCATAACACCACCCAAATGTTTACGCAAAGAAAGAAGACGTAACTTTATTGTTGCTGCCACAGCCGCCACCATGTTGTGAAGATGCTGTGTGTTTCGTTGCAAATTTCCTGATCCTGGTAGAGTAGACTACAGTGCCGGCTGTTCTGACTCACAGCCTGTAAGTACCTTTTCATATTTAAAGAATTTGCCACTGATGATTCAAACGCGAGTTTTGCGCAGTGTAGAGTAGCGTTTGTAGTTTGTCATTTCAGAACATGGTTTTATGTTTACGCGGTGCGATGCAACGCAATGCGTAAAAAGACAGTATAAGTCATTATAATCCGTAATTATGTCCCCACTGGATGCAACAAATGCCTCGTTTGTAATGGGTTTTTGTCTCATCGCACCGGGACACGGCATCACAGAATGGTAGGTGCATAACATTTCCGTCACACGCTTGAGGAATTCGGCCAATCACAACGCACTGGATAGCTGGAAAATCACAGCACACCTCGCTTTTCAGACCGATGATCTTTGTAAAAATCGACACGTTTCAGAAAGACGGGGCATAGAGGAGAAACAATAATGTACAGTATGTGGAAAATAATGTGTTTTTTTAACCTTAAACCGCATAAACATTTAATTACACCAAATACACAAAATAATGTTCTTTTTAGCAACATCACATGACCCCTTTAAAATATTTTACGATATTATGGTTTTACTGTATTTTTGATCAAATTAATGTAGCCTTGGTGAACATGGACTTCTTTCAACAACACAAATTTTTTTTTTTTACCTCACCTCCCTCAAACTGTTGAATGGTAGTATATGTACCTAGAATGCATCATAAAACCTACCCCAAAAGAAACATGCATATGTGCAGAACGTCTTCGTGGTTAAATTCCTGGTAAAATATGGCCCCTGTTTTAAAAGAAACAGAATGAGAATGCTAACACAAAATGAAGACAACCCTGTCGTCTTATTTAAGACAGAGATAGAGAAAGAAAATTTCTGAGTTCTACCTGCCACAACTGCAAATGTTGTGCAGAAAATGTAATTCACACAGGCGATGAGAGAGGAATCATACAGGTGAGATGCCTGTGCTAGAAATCTAATAAAAAAAAGTCAAGTCAGATTAAAACAGTATTAATACAGTCAGATTAATACAGTATTTCACTCCAAGCTCACTGTCCTACAACAGAATAGCAACACAATACACAACAGAACTTACGATGCTTGAAAGACGATAGTTGCCACCATGCAGACGAACATGACATAGAAAATGGGATAGGACAGCTGTAAAGGACCCAAGATGCTAAGCACAATCATCCCTGAAACTGCCTTCACTGTGATTACAGTCACTGAACCTAAAGGGCAAAGGTCAAGGGGACGGTCAACTCCATTATTTTGGTCTCTGGTACATTTATAAGGGCAAAATAGACAATGACTTGTTTATCTGTGCATTACTTCCTTGTCAAAAGAACTACTTTGCAAAACAAGTACTGCTTGTGGAGCACTTTGAGTAATGTTTCATACACACAATGGGCTTTACAAACAACCAATGTTGTGTTATTGTCCTACCAAGTAGTGCCACCAGCAGCAGAATCAGGACGAGGTAGTTGGCATTCCGCTGTTTATAGAAATACAGCACCAGACAGAATGTGATGATCCCTAGAAGCTGGAAAAAACAATCCAAATTAACTGTTCAAATAAAATGCCTTCAGCAAGTTATCAGTCATCAAAACAAATTCCATTTCTACCCATCAAAAATAATGTGCACTGTAAATCAAAACGATATCCTTTGTAAAATAATTATGGTTTGATATTTGCCATTTGTAATCACACAACAACTTTCTAAAACATGAGGGTGTGTATTACCAAGTATAAGAGGAAGGGCCAACCGATAACATGTTTTACAATGTTCTCCGCATTCAGCTTCTCGTGAGAGTTCGGTCCAAACGTCACAAAGAGGTAAGTACCGCCTGCCGTCAAGGCACAGCCCAGGAAAGTCAAGATGTAGCGCTCTACAAAGACAAGCATAGGGATGTTATAGTGCTCTGCATTTAATTTATTGTATTACTAATACAATATATCAACAAGTAGTTACTTGTTGCTTAGCAACTCATGGCCTCAATCTTTTGAATAAATAGGTGAGAAAATAGAGCTGGCACCTCAAAGCCAGCATTAATGTAGTGAGTTATGCAACTGAAAGCAATCAGTATAATTTCTTTTATTCCTTTATATGTGCTCAGAAAGATGACCAGAACTCACTCAAGAATTCCTGTGCCTTCCACTTTTCCCGCAAAAACAGGAAACCCAAGATGGAGCTTGCTGTGAAGACCAAAATACAAACCATTGGTTGTTACTTGAAATAAAAGAAAATCTAACAAAAATCTTATTTCAGGTAGTTGCTAAAGAAACATTTCTCACTTTCATTTAATGTAACTTGATATAATAAAACTAAAACTGGAAGAAAAAAAAAAATACTACACAGACATATTTAAAGAAAAAAAAAATATAAAAATGTCAAAAATTAAAAAATTAAACTGACAATGTAAAAAAAAAAACTAACTCAAAATATTAATAAAAACTGTAATAGTACCATGATACTAAAATAATACTCCTTCAGAGCTGTATTACATATAAAATAAAATTAACATGTTTTGATTATATCAAATATGTGAAACAGAAAAAAACAGTGTAAAATATGGAAGTGAATGCAACATAACAGAATTACAGATGATGAATACCTACATATGACAGACACGGCATTAAGTGGCGCTATGAGAGAGAGCGGTGCAAATGCATAAGACACAAACAGGGCGCCCTCCCCCAGAACCATCAGCATTAGGCCAGACCACCAGGTCTTAGTGTAGTAGTATTGCCTTGGGTCTTTATTTCCCGCCAATGTCACGTGACTTTGTTTCTGCAAGAGAAAACATCAGTCATGATAACATGTGTTTGTCTTTTACACCTTCTTATTAAACCCACTCCCTTAGATACGGTAACAAACAACAGCTGGGTTATAAAACAAGATGCTGAGAAGTAAATAAAAGTGGCTGACTTTCACCTGACAGGGTGTAACCTGAACACACCCTGCTCCTGAATCACAATGCAATTATAAATGTAGGCTCCAAATATACACTTACCTGAATGCTGACTGAGATGCTGACCAACAGGTTTCCAAAGATAGCTAACAATGTTCCAATGAGGTTTTCCTGTGTATAAATCACAAAGATAAGACTCTGAAGTGTCACCCATAGACAGGATAATTGTTTACAACATTTACGTTAGTGTGTATAAAAAACAAAACACAGGACACGTAATTATCCCGTAAACCATCGGGGAAGTCCTGTTAAAATTTATAGATGTTTATTGTAACTGAAAACCTTCTAGGACATGTGTGTGTGTGTATCCGTATATAACAGGAATTAAATTGAATTACAGGGAATTTCATGGTTGTCTTTCTCTAAAACAGTTTTGTAAAACACATTCGCTATTTCAAGGTCCGCTTTTGTAAACACGTAAAAAAACAGTTTCGCTTTAGATTTATAGTTTGAATTTTATTTGAAAACATCACGTCATAAACTCACGGTGTAAGAGTCTGCCATCACACCCTCCTCTCGTGCCATCCTCACGCCGTTCATCCTTAAATCAGATGACATCTCCGTTATACACGCATCACCGAGCCCGTCTCACAGCTCAGTCCAGTCGGGACTGGGACGAAAGTCAGCTCTACTTTCCTCTGTTTTGGCCGCGGTTTACGTGGATCGCCATTTTCGAAACGCCGTTCCTTCCGGGTTGTACACAGGTTCTGTGTGACGTCGAATTTGAGGGACGTGATGAGGCACGCATTCTACGCAAAAAAAAAAGAAAAAGGAAAAAAACAAACAAACAAAAAACAATCCTCAGGGGGGATAATGGCGTTTTATGGACGCTGTGAATGATGGAGAACAAGTGCATCCACAATAAAAATGTTGACTGCTTTGACGACTTTTATTTTGATGGTGACAGACTGACAGCATGAAGGCTGTAAAGCTGCTTTGATAATTGGAAGTAAAAATAATATTTTAATACTATAATATCTGGCAAACTAATACTTTGTGGGGGGAAAAACACGCTGTTACTTAATTACAAGGTACATTTGATCTATTTAATTTTGGAAACAACACATGACCTTTAT